GGCCCAAGGGCTGCACACTGTGGTGGGCACAGGACCCCCTGCTGTGGTGGGCATCACTCCGGGGTGTGTGGCAGCCAGATGCTCTTGTGGTGGCCACACTGCAGCTGAGCGAGCCGCAGGTGCCAGCCGTGTCCCCGGCCCCCTGAGGGGAGTAGGGTCACGGAAGGAGGTGGGGACAGCAGAGAGGCTCCGCTTTGTGCTTCTAGCACAAGATCAGGGCGCATCTCTAGGAGGTACCTTACAAACCGCAGCACATCCTGCTGCAGGGAGGGCTGGGGGAAGCCCGTGCCCAGCACCTGAACCCCCTTTGCTAGCACAGCCAGCACCTCCAGGGAGGGAACCAGTGCTTGAGCCTGGGACTGCGTCTAGCTTTGTCTTGGCGCAGGGTCCTCAGCCCCAAAGGGACCCCTGCATTCACCTGCAGATGCAAAGCGCTGCGGCCAGCACACAAGCAGGCAGCACGGGGACATGGCCTGCGTCCCCAGCCTCAGCCAGAGCGTGGCAGAGGCCCAGGGCACGGTGACCTGCTGCTGGCACAGCAGCGAGCAGACAGGACGGCACCTTGTCCGCACAAGGACCCAGTCCTGCCCACTCCCCCGAACTAGACTCAGCTCATCTGCCCCAGCCCCTCAACTCCTCAAAACTACCCCTGCCGCCAAAGCGCGGGGCCACCCCTCTCCCCAGGGAACCCACAACCAGGACCAGGGGGCTACAGTGAAGAGTTGGCTTTATTCACGGACACGGGGGCAGCTGTGTCACTGGCAGCTGCCCTCGTATTGCACATCCAGCGACGAGGGCGGGGGGGATATCCATGCCACGTCACAACACAGCGTCGGCACTACGGGACCTCGGGGAGGGCGCGGGCACCGTCACGACCCAGCAGGCTGGGGAGCAGGCTTGGGCGCCAAGGGTTCACAAAGGCAAAAGACCCGTCCACCCATAGATAGAGATATATATATAAAAAAAAAATAGTTCCACAATGACCAGAGCAGAACCACAGGGACACGCGTGCAAGCAAAATGTACAGCAGCCCGCGGGCAGGTAAACATGCTTTGTACAGACACAGACACGCCGGGACGCAGCCGGGGTTTATGGCGCTGGGAGGGATACAGAGCCACAAACCCGAGCTTCACAGACACACACGCACGCACGCACGCCAGCCCCTGTGGGCAGCGCCCACGGCTCGGGCACGCGCCGGGGCTCGGGGGCTCGGACACGGCGGGTTTTTTCTCACTGCTAGACACGGTACGGAGACACGGACACGGTCCCTTGGAACGGAACTGGAGGAAGAACTCGTGAGCGAACGGGGCAGGGGCACCCCTGCTCCTCCCCGGCATGCGGGCACCGGCCGGGGCCGGCTGGGGAGGAGCAGGGGGCTACCGGCGGTTCGTTGTGCTGCTGGTGGAAGAGGCGAGGATGGGGGTCCATTATGCCTCTGGCTCGTATTCTTGGTATTCCTCCTGTGGCGTGGGGAAAGAAAGAGCCGGTGAGAAAGCCCAGGTCAGGCACGGAGCCCCTGTGCCCCCCAGCCCCACGCCAGCATGCCCACGCAGGGCTGCGTGCATGGGGCACCTGGGAGCAGGCAGGCTCTGGGCTTTGCTGCAGACAGTGACGGCCGCCAGCACGCTGAGCACTGGCAGCCTGTGCCCTCTGCAGTGCCCTGCACCCCTCTGCCACCCCGTCCCCTCACCTGCGGGGGTTCCTCGTAGTTCTCCCCCTCTGGCTCCAGCAGCGGCTCAACCAGCGGCTCCTCAACAGCCTCCTGGGCCACCTCCTCTGGCTGGGGGTGAACCGGGGGGTCAGTGCCATGCAAACAGCACCCCACGCAGCACCCACCCTCCCTGCCGGGCTGGGGGTGACCTGGCAGAGACCAGCAACGCACCCGGGATACTGGGGGCTCTACATGGGGGACACCAGTGGGGCCCAGCGGGCGCCTCAGGCACACACCAGCCCCGCTAGCTGGGAGGCGACAGGCAGGGGTCCGTGGGAGCAGGGCCTGGGTGTGCGTGTCACCGCACCGCTCCCAACCCCGGCCCCAGGCAGGTGATGGGTGCTGACAGCACATGGGCTTGGGGGGGCCGCGGGAGCATCCTGCATCCCTGTCAGGGGCGGGCGGTGCTGAGTAACCCCTCCCCGGGGCTGGCAGAGCAGCTGGCAGGAGGGAAAGGGGGGCGGCCGATCCCCCCCGTGCAGCGGCGGTGGCCTCATTTCTTCAGCTGATGCTATTTTGGGCTAAGCTGGAAGCCAGCGGCTCACGGAGGGGGGGCGGCGAGATGCGAGCCCGCAGCCCCTCCCCGGCCCCCCCCCAAACTCCCGCAGCTGCCAGGTCACCCCTCAGCCGCCCGAGCGATGCGCTGCCGGCCGCCATGCGAGAGCCCGCGCGCGCACACGTCCGCAGCATCCGCGCACGCAGCCGGCGCGCGTGGGGCACCGGCGCCTGCCGCGAGCGGCTGGCGACCCCCGGGGACCCTCCCGCGGGGCTGGGGAGCTGCTGAGGGGCTTCCCCGCCAAGCCCAGGGACGTGCCAGCCTCCCCGCCGGCGCAGCAGGGGCTGCGGGGGGTGTCTCACCTTCAGGTCCGCAGGGAACTCCTCCTTCTTCACCAGCCCGGTGGCCGCCGCGATGTTGCCTGCGCCTGAGAATGCCGCTTCGCCCAGCTGGGACGCCTGCTCCTTTGCTTTCTCAGCCACTGCAAGAGCCGGGGGTGCCCATCAGTGCCCCCCCTCGCCCACCCTGCGACAGGGAGGGGTGCCCACCCGTGGCTCTGTGCCCCGAACCACCCTGGGGGGGCAGAGCTGGTGGGGAGTCACTGGGCAGGATCAGGCCCTCCCCGCCTCCCTGCCCGGGCGCTGGGCAGGGGAGGGGGCCGGGATGCTGCTCTGCAGCTGGGCAGGGAGTGTGAGCAGCCGCCGCAAATCCTTCGTTGCGGGCCCTGTTATATAAGAGGCTTTAGCCGGGTGACATCAGCCCCTCAATTAGCCTCTCATCTCGTTAGCGCGGCCACGCTCTTGGGGCCAGAGGGGTACTGTGATAGGGAGCCAGAGGGGACCGTACCTGAGGTGACACCTTGCACCACGCCTTGGGTTTTACTCCCTGGGGGTAGAAAAAGACAGAGATGGGGTTAGAGGGGCTGGCAGCCGAGATCTGCCATGTGCCTCTGCGAGCCAGGGTAGCATCCTGCCCGCACCCCAGCCTGGGCACACTGGGGCAGCCGGGGGGGGGCTCAGCTCCCGCCCGGCTCCCCACAAGGCTCCTCCAGTCCCTGCAGGAGCCCGGGCTGGGGCAGCACAAGGCCACCACCGTGTGCCAGGCAGGGCAGAGACCCCGGGACCAAGCACTGTGCCAGGGCACGGTCAGGCAGGTGAACGCCGGCCGTGCCGCTGAGCAAAGCTTCCCGCAGGAGCCGGGATCCATACCCAGAGCTGGTGCCAACACGGCACAGGAAGCCCCACAGCCGGAGTGGCCCGGGGCTGGATGCTGCTGCTGGCTGCGCTGACCCTGCCAGGCTCCCTTCAGGCAGTGACACTGCCCACAGATGCCAGGACACCCCCCAGGATGGGAACGGGGTGTCCGTGACAAGGGCAAAGGCAGGGGCTGGGCAGCTCCTGCAGAACGGGGCCTCGGGGCGCTCCTTGAGCGGCTGGACCCCCATTCCAGGGCATGCACCCCTGGGTGGAGATGGGGGTCCAGGGCAGGCACCCACCAGCACCCCGGGGGAATGGCTCTGGGGCTTCACCCCCCTGCAGAGCTGGGGATGGTGCCCCAACCCTGCGCCCTCGCTCCCGCCGAGGGCAGGGACGGCCTCAGCTCCCTCCCCAAGCGGCCCAGCACCACAGCCGGGCACACCGCCTGCCCGGGAGCTGCCTCCTCCCTGCCCGCGATGTCTTCTACAACTTGGCCCGAATGGACCTCAGCCCTGAGGGGCAGCCCACAAGGACCCCCCCAGCCGCCGGCTGGGTGCAGAGGAGATGCTGGCAGAGCCCTGGTGTGGGATGCGCACTGGGGCACGGCCTCTCCGAGATGTCCCCAGCCCCTCTGCTCCAAGCTGGGCACATCGCACCATGGGGGTCACTACCTCCATCCTGCCCCGAAGCATCCTCGGCGAGGAGCCGCGGGGTCCTTGGGCTCAGACCCCCGGGGAGCCGCGGGGGTTCCTGTCCCCGGGGACCCCATCCCCTCATCCTGGGCAGCAACCCCGACCCTGCCCCGGCCCGCGGGGCCCCATCCTCCTGCCTGCACATGCCCCGCGGGGCGAGCTGGGCACCGCGGGCACCCGCCCTCTGCCCCGGGGCGCCCCGCCGGCTGGGTGGTCGTAGCGGGGGAGGGGGCGGAGGCAGGCGGGGAGGGGGGACAGGGGCGGGGGGGGAGCAGGTCCGGGGACAGGTAAGGGGTGGCCGTGGGATGAGCAGGACGACGCAAGGGCAAACGCAGGAGCAGGCAAGGGCAGGCAGAGGGGGCTGGCAGGGGCGTGCAGGGATTAGCCGGGGGGCAGGCAGGCCGAGCCGGCCCTTACCGACATAGAGGACCCCCTCCTTGGTCTTCTCGGCGGCCTCGGCCACCCCTTGCTTGGTCTTCTCGGCGGCGGCGACCACCCCCTCCTTGGCCTTGGACAAGCCCTTCATGAACACCTCCATGGCGGCTCTGCGGGGAGAGGCCGCACGGCTTCACCCCGCCCCGGCCCCGCGCCCGCTCCCGCCCGCCCCGCGCATCCCCGCACCCCCGGCCCCGCCGCCCGCCCCCGGGACCCCCGCCCGACCTGGCTCGGTAGCAGCGGGGACGGGCGGGCCGGGCCGGGCCGGGCCGGGCTGCGGCGGGGCGGGCTCAGTGCGGCTGTGCCGGGGCCGCGCTGCGCTGCGCCGCGATGCGCGGGGGGGACCGCGCCGCGCCGGGCTGAGCCGGGCTGAGCCGTGCCCGGCCGTGCGGAGCCGTGCCCGGCCGCCCCCGCCCCCGCCCCGCCCCGCCCCGACCGGGAGCGGCACCCCCGGCCCGCCGGCTCCTTCCCCCCGCCGCGGCTCGGCACCCCCGGGGCGGTCCCATCGCGTCGCACCTTTCTCCCCATCCCCACCCGGCCCGATCCCGTGCCACGCGGTCCCCACGCTGTCCCGTGCTGGTCCCCATCCCGTCCCATCCCCATCCCGCCCTTTCCCTGTCCCATCTTCTCCCGATCCTGCTCCCATCTCGTCCTGATCCCCACCCTGTCCCCGTCTCACTCCCCCACACGTTCTACCCTACCCCTATGCCATCCCCCCCCCCCCCCCCATGATATCCTCTTCCCACCTCATCCCACCCCATTCCCATCCCACCCTGTCCCCACTCCATCCAATTCTGATCCCATCGCCTCCCCGTCCCATTCCAATCCAATGTTGTTCCCATCCCACCCTACCCTGATCCCCTCCTCCCCGTCACATCCCATCTCCACCCCCAATCCCAATGCTATCCCACCCTGCCCTGCCCCATACCACACCACCTTGATCCCATCCCACCTTACACCACCCTATCCCCCCATCCTGTTCCCATTCCACCCTGCCTCCCTGCCCACATCCCCCAGCTCCCTGCCCTAGGGGGGGATCCCCCCATCTCCCTGCTCGCCAGGAGGGGCAGGCCTGGCACACCCTCCCCAGCGCACCACCCTCCCACCCCACCAGCTGCAGCTGGGACGGGTGCTTCATCCCACCCACCTGGGGGCACTTAAGAGCCAGGAGCGGCCCGGGGGGCGCCTGTGCTGGGCAGGATGGCTACAGGGGAGCAGGTGAGTGTTCTCCCTCTGGGCTGGGCCTGGTGGCAGAGCAGAGGCAGCCCTGCTGTCCCCTCAGTTGTGGGACCTGTATCATCCGGGGGGGGGGGCTGCAGACTCCCTGCTGAGGTGGCCTTAGGGATCCTCAGGGCTGTCCCTTGCTTCCCCAGAAGAGGCAAGAGGAGCGGCGGCGGCGGAGGGCTCAGAAGCAAGAGCTGCTCCTGGCAGAGAGCCTGGGCAAGCACCCCCTGCAGAACAGGTACGGGGGGGGTTGGGCCGTGGGCAGCCTCTCCCAGTACTGGGAGGCGGGTGCTGGGGCTGGAGTGGGGCTCCAGCATAGATGACCCCCCTCATCTCCCCTCTCTCTCCAGGTGGGCACTGTGGTTCTTCAAGAATGACAAGAGCAAGATGTGGCAGGCAAACTTGCGCCTTGTCACCAAGTTCAGCACTGTGGAGGACTTTTGGGCGTGAGTGTCCTATGGGTGGGCAACGTGCCCCCTCCGGAGAGGCCCCGGTGGGGTGGTCTGGGCTAGAGGAGGGTGCTGTGGGTCCCTGAGGCACCTCTTCTCACCTGCTTCTGCGCCTTGTCTCTGCCCGGTGCAGGCTGTACAACCACATCCAGCTCGCTAGCAAGCTCACCTCTGGCTGCGACTACTCCCTTTTCAAGGTGAGACAGTCCCTCCTCAGAACCCCTTGCAGCACCCACCGTTACAGGGACACACTGGGTGCCAGTGGGGCTGGCGGGGTGCCCTGGCTGTAGGGTGGGAGGGAAGCCTGGCTGGGTGCTCACAGCTCCCTGAACTGGCTCTGGCCGGGTGCTTGGTGCCCCTGACCATCCCCTTGCCTGTCCCTAGGATGGCATCGAGCCCATGTGGGAGGACAACCAGAACAAGCGTGGTGGGCGCTGGCTCATCACCCTGGCCAAGCAGCAGCGGCACACCGAGCTGGACCGGTTTTGGCTGGAGACAGTGAGTGCAGCCCCACTCAGGCTGGCCTGCGGGGTCTTTCCCCCTGCTACAGTGCCAAGCCTTAGCAGGGACTGTCCTGGGCTCCCCTTCTCCTCCCGACAGCTTCTGTGCCTCATTGGGGAGATGTTTGATGAATACAGCAACGAGGTGTGCGGGGCTGTCATCAACATACGTGCCAAGGGGGACAAGATCGCCATCTGGACCCGGGAAGCGGAGAACCGGGAAGGGGTCACCCACATTGGGTAATGTAGCTTTGAGGGGGCTGCACAGGGCCAGGTGGGAGAAACAATGCTGTGCCATTCATGCAGCACCCTTCCCTCCTCCAGGCGTGTCTACAAGGAGCACCTGGGCCTGTCACAGAAGGTGGCCATTGGGTACCAGGCCCACGCGGACACGGCCACCAAGAGTGGCTCCCTCACCAAGACCAAGTTTGTGGTGTGACTGTGGGGGGAGCGGGGTGCTGACTGCAGGGTCCCCCTGTCCTGTCCCACAATGAATGGATGCAGCTGAGCATGGTCTGTGTGTACAGGGTTGGTCATCCGGCACCCTGGGGTGGCTTTTGCTTGGGGAGTCCCCTGGGAGGAAGACAATGGGTTGGTGTATTGTGTGTCTGCCTGCTGGGTGAGTGGAGCCAGGAGCACAGGGCTGGCATTGCCCAGGCATCCCTGTGGGCTTGGGGTGCTGCATGCATCCCTCTGCTTCTCCCAGTGCCAGGGACCAGTGTCCCTCCGCTCTGCGGGACCCCAGATAGTCCCCAGGAGGATGCTGGGCTCTGTCTTCCCCTGGCCAAGGCTCAGACACAGTTTACTGCCCTGCAAGCCTGGGTGTGGGAAGGGATACCAGAGCCCAGATCCTCTGGGTTGGCTCAGCCTCAGGAGCTGCTCCTCATCTCCCCCAAACCCCCCCACAGCAGTGGGGGCCTTTTCAGGAAGACCAGCTCCCCAGCCCAGGGCTGTCCATTGCCACCGCAGGGTCGATGCTGGGGCTGCAGCACAGCATCACCCCCATGCTGCCCACCTCGGGCTGTGTTTGCTCACATCTCCTCCCACGGGCACCTGCAGCATGGGTGGTGCAAAGCTGATTTGCTTCCCAAGGGTTTATTGGTGCCAGACTTGCAGGTTCACAGCCCCAGTCCAATGAGCCCTAGGAGTTCGCTGGCTTCTCCTTTCCATGGCCAGTGTCCTCTCCTGGCTGCACAGGGGACCCCTTACTCCTCCCCCCGCCTTGCTCCAGCACAGCTCAGCCCATGCTCTGTCCTTTAACCTTTTATTTGTGGTTTTGACTGTTGGGTCTGTCCTTCCCCGCTGCTTATTCAGGTTCTTGAGGTGGAGCTGCCTGCTCACCTCCTGGTAGTTCCGCCTGCGCTTCTGCCTTCACTGCAGGTCTCCTCCATCCCCCTCCAGGAGCACCTGGGCAGCTCCAGCTCAGCCCAGGGTGACCCGGGGCAGCACATCCAGTCCATCCGTGCCTCCCGGTGAGCCTAGAGCTGGGGCCACTTGTCCCCCGGCTGCTGTGTGCTGCCCTGCCCGCACCTGGGGCTTGTGGAGAGCTGGTCCCGCAGGACAGAGCCGTGGCTACCTCTCTGCTCTGGCAGTTGGTTGAGGCACGTCTGGCCGCGGTGCTGCGGCTGTGGCACCCGGGGCTGCCCGGTACAAGGGGGACAGAACTTGCTGCCCTCCTCTGTGGGGCAACCAGTGCAGGGATGCTGTGGGGCACGCCGGCCCCGTGGGCAGGAGCAGGACCCGGCAGGGAGTGTGGGGAGGGGTGCAGCAGTATTGGGGGGGGGGGGGGGGGGGGGGCAGCACCCCCAAGCCTAGGGTGTCTGCAGGCGGGGGAGGCAGGGGCACTGAGGAGGGGACGCGGGCGTGGGGCTGGGGGCTGCAGCCTGCCCTGCCCGCCCGGGTCCCGCGGGCTGCCTGCACTGCCGGCCGCTCGCCACGCGATGGTGCCGCTCGCCCGGCCTTGGCCAGCCCTCCCTCCGGTGGGCTACTCCGCACAGCCCTGCCTTTGCCCCACAGAGCTGTCCACCCCCCCCACCCCCGCGTGAGAGGCTGCAAGAGCCATGCGTGGGGCACGGGTTGTGGGGCGGGCAGAGCTGAAGCTGGAGCGGGGGGTGCCGAGACCCCCATCCAAAGCACCGTTAATAGCTCTTATTTGTCCGTGTCCCCACCCCTGCACCCCAGCAGTGGCAACAGGAAGTGTGTGAGGGTCAGGGGCACCCCCTCCTCTGCCTGGTGTGACAACCCCCCTCCCACCCCCCCATATATCCCCTCCCCCGAATGAGGGGCTGAGCCCCTGTCAGACCACGTTGTCCCTGTCCCCTCACCCCCACGCTGGAGGCAGCAAGGGGGCTGTGCTCAGGGGGTGCCCTGCACCCTGCCGTGGGGGGGGGCCAAGGTTATCGGGGGGGGGGGTGTTGGTGGCAGAGGCAGTCATGCACTGATGTGGTTTGTTGCCATTCGCATGCAGCTGCAGTGGGATTTCATTTGATTGGAAAAGTAATAGGGGCGGTTTATGGGCTCCCTGCAGCCCAGCGTGGCTGGGGGGGCTGGCAGTGCCCACCCAGAGCCCACCCTTTGGGGGCATGATGGCCTCCATCCTCAGCTCCTGCACCCCAGGGTCCTTGTGTAGGGGACAGAGGGTGCTAGGAGCTGGGGTGCAGCCGAGGACCCCCCAGGTGGGCATAGCAGTTGCCAGGAGCCACTCAGTGAGCACAGCGGTGCCAGGGCTGCCCCCGGCCTGTCTCACGCTGGGCAGCTGTCCCAGCTGGCAGCTGAGCTGGCAGCCCTGTCAATAATCATAATTAAAAATTAATACTAATCAAAAGGGAGAGGCAGATGGCAGCAGACATGCGGCACGGCTGCGGGTGGGGGCGGGGGGCACTGGCGGCAGGGGGGCCAGCAAGGACACGGGTAGGGATGGCCAGCAGTGGGGCAGGGGGGGTCCAGGGGGGATGGGGGGAGTTCAGGGTAAGGGACCCACATGGCAGAGCAGGGAGGGGGGATGTGGGGCCAGGGTTGCCGTGAGGCACAATGGGGATGGGGACAGCAGCACGGCACTGGGCTGGCGCAGGGATGGGGACCCGTCTCCCTTTCTCCAGGCAGTCGGGTGCAGGTCAGTGGTGCTGAGCGCCGGTGCGGGGTCACCTTGCCAGAAGCTGGAGAGCAGCCAGGGCCAAGCGCTGCCGGCCCGCGCCTCGGCTCGGCAGGCTGCCAGCCTGGCCTCTCCCTGCGCCACCGGCTCCAGCAGCAAGGACAGATCCTGCCTCCTGCCCCCGGCACACAGCTGGTGCCGGGATGGGTGCAGGCACCCATCTCGTTGCAACCAGTGGGTGCTGCAGGATGAAAATCCACCAAAGTAATTGGGGAAGGAGGTGCTGGCTCCACGGCAGGGTGCGTGGGCTGGGGAAGAACAGGCAGCGCTGGCTCACCGTGGGAGTGGGCAGGCAGTGCGGCTGCCGGCGCTGGGGCTGTGCCACGCTGTTCCCTTGGTGCCTGCACCCACATCCCTGCCCCATCGCTTGCCATGGGGGTGCTCTGGGCCCTGGCAGAGGGGACATGGGCACACAGGGGACCTCCATCTCTGGGTACTGCCAGCATCCCTCGGGGGGGACGGGCCCCCCACAATGTACCCAGTGCTCTCCCTGCCCGCACTGCTGGGCCCTGGCAAGGACACAGGCTGAGCTCACCCTCCATCCAGAATCACCATGGCATCTGAGGAGGGGTACCCAGGGTAAGGGGTACCTACAGCGCACTGTTCCCATGACAACCTCCCCAGAGACAACAGCCGGTGCAGGAGATGTGGGAGGCGAGGGGCCCATGGTCCCCTCCACGCTTGGGCTCCCACGCCTGGCAGGACACTGTGGGGTACAGGAGAGGGGCTGCACCCATGGGTCTTGCTCCCAGCCTCGTGTTCTACCTGCCCCGTCCTCTTCCCTGCAGCGTGGGGCAGGCATGGCCAGGCTGGTGCTGCTGGGCTTCTGCCCTCCAACTACTGGTTTGCACAGGGCGGGGGGGTTGCAGAGTGGGGCACAGTGGGGTCTGTGCGGAGGGGGAGGAGTTAAGTGCCTGCAGGGCTGTCCCCAGTGCCATCAGCAGAGGAGGGGGAGAGGGGGACAGTATCTCCTGCCCTGCGCCGCAGGGAGCCTGTACCTGAGAAGGGTTCCTTGCTGTCACTTCTCATCTGGGTAGCAGCCAGGCTCCTGCAACACGGCTGAGCGCTCTCCTTGCCCGCAGGGATGGGCTGGCACTTCCCGCTCAGCAGAGCGGGTGGGTGGGATGGGGACAGGGATGGGAATGGGGACAGGGACAGGAGCTGTGTGGCCACAGACCTGCAGGCATGGCTGCAGCACAGTGCTGCGGCAGGCTGCTGGCAGTGCCCTGTCACAGGCAGAGCTGTCCCCACCACCCTGCTCTGCGCTCCCCTGGCCATCACCCCTTTGGGGTTTGCTCTGCTGGCCCCATGCCATGGCCTGGGTGCCCCCCGGCTGGCTGGCATGTGCCCATGGGGCCTTGTCCCCCCCAGGTGCTGTGCCCACGCTGTCACCGAGCCTCTGGCACAGACACAGCACAGCTCCTGCCCACAGCCCCATCCCTCCGCTCCCCCAGTCGATGCCACCAGCTCCAAGGGACAAGCCTGCACCTCCCTTGACACAGATGCATCCCAACAGTTGGGAAAAGGGGGGTCCATTAGCACCCCCACATCCTCCTGGTGTGGCACAGGGACCAGCCACTCTCCTGGCTTGCAGAGGAGCAGCTTACAGCCCTGGGGCTGCGAGGGCGCAGGGCACACGGCAGGCAGTGCCACCAGTACCTGTCCTTTCCCTCCTGGCCCTGTCCACCCTCGTGTCCCCTTGCAAGGGGCTGGTGATGCTGCAGCCCACGGCCACCCCCATGCCTGCACCCAGCCAGCGGGCTGCCAGGTTCCCGGCCAGGCTCCCCGCCCGCCCCGGTGCCGTGTCTCTGGCTGGGAGGGCTGGTGTTTCCCGGGCGGTCGATGCGCCCATCGATCCCACGCAGCTCCGTCAGCTGCTCTCCCACCACCCTGCTAATTAATTGTCTGCTGGTGCAGCTGCTGCTGCAGGAACACTGGGCACCCAGGGTGCCTGGGCTGCCTGCACCCTGCCCTGCCTGTGAGCTCACAGCCCTTGCCCCACACGTGGCCTGGTGGCCCCACGGGAGCTGACACCCACCTCAGACCCACGCCTGACCCACCTGCGCCACAGATGGGGGGGGTCTGTGTCAGGCTGGGGAGGGGACTGGTGAGCCCTGGACTGGGATGAGGGGCACAAGGGTGTGAGGTGGAGGGAGTGGGGGGCAGCACACGGCCACTTTCAGCCCTGCCAGCCGCCCTTGTCCGGGACACCCTCCCACTGTTCGCAGTCGTGCCCACCCCAGCCCGCGCCAGCCCCCAGCCAGGCGTGGGGACAGGGACGCTGCCTTTGTGCCGGGCTGTAATGAGATTTCTGCTTGGCTGCCTGGATAAAAAATCCCAGCCAGAGGATGT